CATCTTTAACCACCGAAAATTTCAAGGCAATTGGTCCAGTAATCAACGAAAAAGGAGATTTCTTCAAAACGATACAAAGAGCAAGAACAACATAATAACAAAACGATAGTTATGTCCACTACGTGTCCAATAATTACACGCAATACAACGAGCTTGCAGAGCTCGACAGAAAAAGGGACTACGCGCATGAGCGAGTTGATTGTACTGTTTACACGAAGAGCAGTGGTTTTTAATAATTTCGGCGGGGTGGAACCCCATTGGAACATTCCAAGGGGTCGAGGAAATCTTGTGCAATAGTCTGTCCCTCATTGTCTGAATTCTAATAACTATAAATCCAATACTAGCAAACGACATTATCATTAAAGTGAAGTAATTTTAATGATAGTGGGAAACCTGATACGTATCCGATTATATTATATTAAATCATTATTAATATAAATATAGACTCCAGGAGGAACTTATGTACTGTACTGACGGAACACTGGGGTGCTGCGAAACCCCCGTTTGAAAAACACTGGTGTAGAGAAATCTAAGAATAACAATATAAACTGGTGCTAACAGTAAACAATAACCTTTGTATCAGAACATCTTTTTTTGTTTTCAAAAAAACTATCATGAATTGCTTTAACTAGAGTCTTGTCTAAACTGAATGCGTATAAACACCCAACAATGATCTATGTTTCAAATTGCGCTCTTCATGGATTAAAAATAACAAATTTGACTGATTTTATTCTAAAGCATGTAATGCTTTAAGAAAGTGCACACTTGACATTTCTGTGGCTGTCTGTAACTTCCAACTAGGCTGGGTCTTACTCACCCTTAAAAACAAAATTTGGTCAAATGCAAGTTCACGCACTCATTTAGAAGTAGAGAATAATCAAGCCAACAATGTTAAGGGTACCCACTAGAGTGGGACACTGAACATATATAGTATTTTGGTAATAAATTACACATGAATTACACATAAGTATTGATAGATGCGAGACTTCTGAGTAAATGCGCGTAAAAAATCCCCTAGAAGGGTTCACACATCCATAAAAAACTCTCAAGCCTCATTGATAGATAAATATTCAACAAACCTTCAATCAAAGTGATCATGAGAAGATGAATGAGAGCAATCCGCAGACGAAGCTTCATTTTGACGACAAATGTCACCAACGACCACGAGTTTTATTCTGCTTCGGCGGTCTACGTTCAAAAGTTTAGACTTACAGTTGTATTCCAGCAGCTATAAGTATAATGAACTTAAATATTATGTGGATGACATAATATCCTCTGTGAGCATTCTCACTGCTCTTGGAACAAAAAGAGAAATTGTTGTCTCTCTTTTAAAAATTCAGTATTCACTTTATCACTAGGAAGAGAGTAAATTCTCTCGCGTAAGTTGCTATTCTATTTTTATGCATTATCACGGTGACTAATCCAAACGATTCTATACATTTTTTATGTGATGCTTACCTGCGTCTTTCGCTTCGAACAAGGCCATGTACTAGCAGCCATTGATATCTAACGATATGCAAGGAGCTACAATTTAATTAAAAAGTCTCGAATTTGGATCTTTAGTGCAAAGCACCCGACACGCTTTAAAATAAAATTAGTAAATCGCCCAGTAAGGGTTGAAGATAAGATCAGTAATGACTCCAATCTGCATTAAATTTAGAAAATGTTTATTCGTTTATGAAAAGTTGAATCAAAAACATTGAATATTTTATTTGTTTGTCTTTTTTATTGTTCATTTATTTCATGAAATTTTTGAACCGAATTTCTGTGGATTAATGTTCATGACATTATCAGTATCGTTACTTCAAGATCCATTTTAAGCTTTTTTTCGGCCCTATTTATCATTGTGAGCGATAACAATAATAATAATTAGTAGCATAATGATATGTCACAATTTAGCATTATTCAAATAATAACAATCAGGAATATAAGGCTTAGTTTAGAAAAAGTGCGGATAACTTGCCTGCATTTGCGTTTTATTCGTGAGTGCGATAATCTAGTGGCAAACTCATTGCTATAGGTTTCACTTTTCGCTCAGCTCGGAGATGTCGAAGTGCATAGCAGTTGACTTCGTTTTATCACCGTCTGTGACTATCACAAACTTTCGCTCCGAACAAGGCCAAATACAAAAAGTAATTTATATCTAAAGATGTATAAGGAGATACTCATTATTTGGAATAATCGGATACTTGACATTTCGACATTGCCTATCCCATTTATTACACCTTTATAACGTGAGGGCATGGCATTTGAATTCGAAATATGTAACCTGTGATAATGGTTCAACTAAGTCTAGTGCTTTAAACGCTACGTATGATTGCATAACGCTACGGGAGTTCAAACTATCAACATATGGAGTTGTAAGCAATTAGTCCGCTCATTACTTATCGATCTTAAGATCGGTAAGTATGTTGATATGTATATGTCTGTTTTACTGGCTGTTAGATGAACGCGATATCTCACGAAAGCGAGGTTGAATCTGCTCCAAATTTTGCATTTGCATTCATCATAGCTCGGATCAGAAGCCTATTAGTTTTGGATGATTCATGTCGTATAATTAGCGAGTTAATAATTAATTAGTGATAGGACACACGGTGTCAATATGGAGTCAGAGCGCTGTTTTGGGGAATCCCCTAACGTTCGATCGTTAAGTCTTCGGTCTCCGACTGATATTCTCGTTTCCTTATTGGTAATATCTGGTTGACATAGCAAGTGTCGCAATCATAATGATCATAATTTCTATGACTGTTTGTCAAAAAATAAGTTGAAATTAGGTTTATCGAATGTATCAAAATAACGTTTTACAAAACGTGTTATTTCTCGGTAAAAATGACAAAAAATTCCTAAAAAGAGATCCCTAGACAACAATACTTCCATTTTATATATTATGGAGTAGCGTCCAAAGCGTTATACTTCACTCTATTGGCATCGCAGATTACACGACTCGAGCTCAAATTCTGAAATCCTGAAATACCTTTTTAAGATAAAGCAAATATTTGGCTTTGGATATTAAGCGGATTTTTTGGAAAGAGATCTAGAAACAGAATTAATATAACAGTCCGTTGAGCAACGCTAAAAGAAAAATACCTATATTAAATACCTTCGAAAAAAAATGGAAATTTGAATAGTGCTACATGTGGTATATTTCCTATTCGTTGATAGATATAATGCGCTGGAAGAATGAACCTTGATGACTTCTGAATAAAAGATTAAATAGTATTTATCGTTATTACTCTTTAAGTGGAAAAAAAATTGAATCACGCAAAGGGACGCAGTAGAATCTATGTAACTCTCACTGACTCTCGTCACAACCCCTTGCTCTATTTTTATTTTATTTCAAAATGGTCTCATTTTGCTTTGAAAATACGTCATTTTGTGCTTTCAATCTTTGGCTCAAAGACAATGACATGTGTTGGCATATCGTTTTAAACGCCAATGAGGAAAATTATATTTGTAGGTGTACTTGAATCCACTCCCGGCCGCACCAACTTCCTTGCAACCTTGGGGATATATGAGAAGGTGGGTTTTTTTGCCCAATTTCATGTCCGAAAAAATTCAGAATCAAACAATTAAATTCATATCAGTTTTTTTTTATATTTATCCAATTTCAATTCATATTTATGAATACACTGGAAAATCATCGAAAATTTCATGGAAAATCATATGGGATTGATAAAATGCCAATGTATTGCCTGAATTGCACAATATATCTGAGCATTGTTAATAATCATAACCAATGGGTTTACCTTCATTTGCCAAGTAGATTGGGTCCGGTGACTTGCAAGCTTGTATTTGGCATCGATATCAAAAGATGTGATTGAATAATTTATATTGTTCATTTGATTTACTTTTTAAGTTAAACTAATTTCATATTTTTAAGGTAAGGTCTTCCCACAAAAATCACATTGATAAAATATGGAAGAGAAACCACGAAAGTATAGTTTGTCGAGTTTTAAATTACACGATTGATAACATATGAAAAAAATCAAGAGAGGAAAGTTAATTTTTTTCAAATTTCAAAATCAATATCCCTGGCGTAACAAACTTATATTAAATAATCAAATTATATTAAAAACAAGTTGAACATGTAACAACATTACAACAATAAAATTACAATTGGAATGAATTGTGTGTTAGAATTTAACTCGCATTCAGTGGTGCGAAGGACGTCGTCTGATCATGAAAGTAATTAAAAGATTCATCGAAGTTTTAAAATCACGATTCGAGATTCTGGTTGTATTTTCGGAATCAACGCAGGTTTGTCCACAGTTTAGTAATTTGATAGGTTATGCGCCCTACTACAACTCTGTCTCGACGAAAACAGTAGCTCCGAACGCCATGGTATTTACTGGGTTAAGTAAGGCCTTATTTGAAGCGATCCTACCATTTATTGCGAATGGAAATATTTCTGCATGAGTTTTTGTACTGCATTTCTGTTTGTCACAATAAAGTGACCACATACGGCTGATTGAAAACACGATTAAAAAAAATAAGGCAAAAATAGGAAAACACAATATCGTATTCGAATAAGTCAGTTGTTAAAACTTATCAGAGAAATATATTTGAATCAAAATGAAAAAACAAAAGTGAATGTTAATAAGAAATAGTGGAACAAAATGATATTTAGTTAATCACGTGAATATAAATTAAATTAGGTGAATAACTCAGAACATTTTACAAGACATTAAATGAAAAATAGTTGAATAAAAATAGGTAATTATATAAATTTCTAATTGTTATTTGAGTAATATATTTGGGATCACGCTTAAGATGGAAACTCAAAAACTTTTAACATATGAAGACAAATTGACTTAGAAAATATTAAATTTTGAATAAAAAAGAAAAAAAATCATAGGTAAACATACAGGAATTTCCGAATATTTCAGAAATGCAGCAAAATATAAAAAATCACTATTTTGAAGCGCAGGTAAATTTTATTGAAAATTCAAATTTGGTATTAATTCGTTTACGAGATATCGAATATTAGATGAGTTGATTGGGATTAATTGTAACATTTTTGATTGAAATTCTTGAAATCTGGAATGTGTCAGCACATAAAATCAATTTTTTAATTTGCTTCGAATGAATTTCAAGTTATTCTTCACCCTTTCTATACTTTCTCGCTTTTCATTTTCATTAGGCCAATCCTTAGCCTTCTCATACACATCAAGGGATTTCAAATAAAACGATTCAGCGTTGGAATAGTCATCGAGATTATGATGTGATAAAGCAAGATTAAATAACAGATCCCCGAACATGCGAGAATTGGACAAGTTTGTTTGTTTTAACAAGCTTATGTCTTTGCCAATTAATTTAATCGCGTTGTTGCATTTACCAATTAAATCAAGATATAAAATCCGATTCCGGGTACTAGCCAAATTTACTTTAGTCCCTTTTATGCATTCGTGTTTTACCTTATCACTGAACCAATCTTCAGATGTCTCTCTCATGTTCAGAGATTTGATATAAAGAGATTCAGCTTTGGAATAATCACCAAGGTTATGATAAACCAAACCCATGTTGTTTAATAAATCTGAAAGAACTCGATATTTGGGGACGTTGGAACCGATCCTTTGTTTCAATAAGTAAATGCCTTCACTATAGAACCCAATGGCTTGCTCATATTCACCGATAACTTTATGACTTAAACCAACGTTATTCAAGCAACCCGCTTCGTTAACAGCTTTCTTATTCTTATCAGCAGTTGATACTGATTGAAACTCTCTCAACATATCAGTAATAATTTTCAAACCAACAATTGTTGCAATCTTTTTCATACCGCCTCCCTCCTTAACCAAGGATGTAATAATTATGCCACATTGTAATGAGCTATATCGAATCCCAACAACTGACTTATCCGGGTTTGATTCGAGCTTGTACAACTTAGGGCAACAAGAGAGTAAAATCAATGCACGAATATCAAACGAATCAGTGATAAACGTTTCAACTAATTTAATGACGTCATCGACATTAGGTCTCGGATATGACGTCATCGTTGTTTGTAACGCTTCAATGCACCTCAAAGCTTTATCCGATTCTTCAATTTGACAATAGTGCTCGGATATCATGAATTGCTGTATTTGGGAAGAAGAAATATCTTGCAAAGTAGTCAGCGCTTCCATAAAATCAGATTGTTGAATCACTTGACGTAAATTTTCTGAAAAAAAAAAACAATTTACTAAATATCTAGAACAGTCCACTGTGGGTAAAGAGTCCGACTTCAAATATTATCGAGCATTGTACCAGGGTTGCGCGTGAATGTTATTAAAGTGATTCTATTCCAACTATGTTCAGTGCTTTATTGTTTGTTAATTGCTCGTATTTTTATAGCTTCGTTTATTTATGAGCTTTTATCATTTCAGTGGGTCTCAAAGAGCTTCAATAGGTTTTAGTAAATTTCAGTGTTTTCTTCAACGAAACCATCCTGGTTTATGTGATTGAACTCGCTTACCTGATGTAACGAATTGATTTCTTCCAGTCGGAATAGTTCTTTCAATTTTATCAGTGACGCCACGAGAGAAGGAATGGGCAGGCGCGTAATCCGGAGGAACTGCAAACAGGAAGGTATTCAAAATTAGAGATGCTAAACACGAGAAGTGTCAAGATACAAATTGAAATGATTATTTCAAAAAATAAGTAGGAATGTTTAGAAAGATTCTACCACTATGACACAAAACCCTTGGCCTTTGATCACTTTATTTTATCAAATTCTTACAAAACTCTAGTTGCAATCGCAAGTTTCAAAGTTTCAGAAAAAGTTTCATATAACAGAATCATACTACTACCTAGTTTATGATATATTAATTTGAGAATATACCTGCTATTGGGCCGACATTCCGATCGATTTCAGAAGCTCTCGTCTTTTGCCTAAAAATAAAATGAGAATAGTTAAAGTTATAGTTTTTATATTTGCATGTAATAGGTTTCTTATTCAGCAACAATGGTAGGTTACTGTGCAGTTAAAATCATCGGCCAGTTTCAATATTAAAAATAAGGGTGCGAGAATGGCGTGGTGTTTTTTGTGTTTTTCAATATCGAGGCTTCTACTTTTCAACTAGGGGTCAGGGGTTTATCGGAATTTTTCAAATTTAATATATAATCGTATGGAAGATTTTGTTGAATACAAGACCATGAACTGAATCTGATATGAAATATTTGAAAAGTTACAAATGCTACTCTTTCGCCATCACTGATTCTGATTTTAGACAATAATTTCTTACGCCTACCTGATTGAGTTTCGAAGATTCCTCCATCCCTCCGCCATTTTACGACTTATGATTCACTTTTATAATTTAATTTAAATTTATACAAAATGAGACCTAATGATATAAAGCTGATATTTTATAAAAAATCTGGCAGGTCGTGATCACGTCAATTCTATTTGAAGATGGAATTATTGCTAAAGTTTAAAACAGCAGTTTTTACGAAATCCTATATGTGGCAACCATGCTTCTCGCCCCTCTGATATGGAATCTGAATAACGCAGTTGAAAGCACAAATACTTTCCCGTCATGACTAAAATGCATTTTATCTGACTATATGTGAAACAACGGACTACAGATGAAGCCCTCTACCTAAATTGAATGATTTATTCACGTTTCGCGCTGTTTGCGTGCGATGCTGGTCAATATTGCAAAACTACATTTACGCATTGATACAAAACTACTCCAAAACAAATATCCTATAAAAAGACACAGCTATGAACGTTGTGCGAATATATAGATGAAAAGCCTTCGACAGAGACTTCCAGCTTAGAACTGAAACTCTAACATTACTGTACAAGGGTGCAAAAAACCTGTACAACAACACATAATTGTACAGAAATACCCCAATTCTCTGAATCGACACAAAATCACGTTAAATATTAACTTTGTCGCACTCAGCAAACATAGAAGTTTACTTTGACACATAATAAAATGTCAGTGGATTGGAATGTTGCCATCAGAAGTATATTTGCCGTTAAACAAACATTCAACATTGTAGGCACTGGTTCTATTTGATTCGACCAAACATTTTGTTTGTACGGCGCCAAATTAGGAGGTAGAAAACTCACGCTGCATTTACACGACAAAAGACACCACGTAACAGAAAGTAAATAGAAAGGTAAAATAAATTTATTGATTAATAAATGGCATTTAAAATAATGAACAATGGAACATTTATAATAAATAGAATTTGTGAAATATCCAACCATTTATCAGTATTGTTTAAACACAATTTTTCTTTTTCCTGGGCGCATTTAACAAGTTGTCTCGTCGCACTAGTTCGTAGTAGAATTGAACGTCTTATTTTTGTAAGAGTTGTTAAGTGGGAATACTTTACTCTATTAATAAAAACAAGTTTGACTTTCGAACCAAGGTTAACAAAAATTTTGACACAAAATCCAGCTGCCTTACATTTTGACAGAATTCGATAATCACCATTTATCATCATTCTTTTTCCAAAGGGCAGCATTGAAAAAAGTTATCAATTTTTTTAGAAAGATCATATCATATCATATAGTAGTTACTTTCATTTAAAGTTTAAAATGTAAACTAATAAATCATAAATCATGAAAAAATACATTAGATGGCAAAATTTCCATATGAGCAAAAACTGCTTTGCCGTGCATGCATGTATGTCGTGTTTGATCATCCCTGCTGGGTATGCTATAAATAAACCATTTGCATTTAAAATTCTTTCGATTTATACTATTTCAGAGTCATTAAGATCAATATTCAGAGTTTTAAATATGGAATTTCAAAAATATGATTCCAATGGCAGATTAGTCATTATCATATTAATTATCATATCCATAAGGGTTTTCACTCATTTTTCTTACACTAGCTACAAGCGGGCCCCGTGTTACAGTTGGTTTAGAAGATGGTTCAGTGTTCATGTAAGCAATTGGTTCAGAAGCTGTCGTCGATGCATGTTGTCCTGTTGCTGGTTTTTGTTGTCTGTCAATGTTATTTGTGTTTTGTCGTGTTTCAGTTGCCAGAATCGTGTTGACGTAGTTTGCACCACCTGGGTTTCTGGAAAATAAGAAACATTTTGCTGATTATATGGAAAAAGGTGGTAAAAGATAAAGTCAGAATGCTACATAAGCAGGATATGCAAAAATATTGAATAAGAAAAATTAAAAATAATAGCTATTATTAAGAACAACCCCTATTAGAGAAGGTTCAGAACGCTTAGAATTATTGAAAAGCTGAGGATTTAGAATCAAAAGAAAAGCGTTACCGTTCATCGCCGTTTTGTTTTTCGTCGATGTCTTCATAGTTGTGACATTCTGAAAAAAGAATTATTAACATTTTAATCACTGGAAATTACTGGAAAAAAGTTTGGCCACAAAAGTTTTTACAAACAAAAGCAAACTACACATCAACGTTGGATGTTTTTTGGTCGATATTCTAATATAAAACTGATTGTATCACGTCTACGAAAAGAATTACGATATTTGGTTTAAACCTCTCTTCATTAAGTAAATGATGCACAATTTGGAGACAATTGGTGTCCAAAGTAGCCAAAATTGCTATTTATAAGTTAGACGAACGGTAAATAGCAAACATGCTCATGTGAAATATTAAAGATAGATAGATTTTAGCAACGTTCAAATATACATGATTGTGAAATGGCACAGTCAGTTTAGATTTTTATGAAAGAAACCAAATAGCGCGAATCGTTTTCACGGTTCATCATTTACTACCTTGCATTGCATGGGTATCCTCCGTCACATCAGTTTTTCTCTTGATTTCCTGTTTCCTGCTTTGCCATAATTTTCTTTTTACAACCAACACCGCTGTCGAAATAATAATGATGACGAGAATGATTGAAAGCGTTATAGATCCTATGTCCCCTGGTGACAGGAATGCATCAGTGTATGTTGATTTAGAAACTTTGAATTTAGTAACAAGAGAGCTTGCTATAGGAAAACGTGACGTCACAGTAAAGACGTAATCGCCAAAGTCTTTTTCATCCACCTGCAAACAGCAGATATATAAAAATAATGAACATTACAATAATGCTCTCATATAAAATTCTCATGAAACCAAGAATCATATCGTTAACAATGATTGCTATGAATTTTGTGCAAAACAAAACAAAAATGAAACAAGCCATTTTTTATATTGGTTCATCGCTAACAAGTAAGTAATTGTTCGGCTGTAGATTTATTTATATGTACTATTACAGATACATATAAATATCAGTTCTGCCTCATGACAAAAAACCGTTAAGCAGGGACTGGGTGATGTGTGCATCAGCTAACTGTTACTCAATGTTATTCTACACGCGTGGCAACTGCGTAAAATTTGCAGCTATTGCCTCGGAGAACTCTATCTGGACTATATCATCAAACTAGACAAGATGTACAGGCGACAAGAGAGTAAAACTAACTATATTGAAGTGCAACACCTGGCTATAATATCACAGCTTGAACACCAAAATTGTTGTAAAAGGGTATCAGAAAACCTTTTTTTTTTTTACTTGTTGTATTAAATTTTTATATTTCTTGTTTGGATTACCTGAAGGAAGTCAACGACGACTTTGTGATTGACTCCTTCAACGACCAAGTAATAGTTTGGTATAACAGTTCCTGGATAAAACAGAAGCAATATTTTCAGTTGAGATTTTGCGAACTACACTAAATTTTATTATGCTGTAAGAAACCAATTTTGACAATTAGTCCGAATGACTAATATGACTTCCGTAATGTTAGCGATTGTAACGAATTGTGACTAATATTGTGTTGCCATGTAGCATAAGACCTTCAATAATAAAGAAATAGAAATGTATTTTTTTTTTCAATCAATTGGTTATTAATCGCAGAAAAATATGATTTATTACAGCCACAACTTCATGAATCCCAACAACAGCAATTTTGCAAAACAATCCATTAGTTTACTTCGTGTACAACAAGGACATAAACTGACCATTTCTTGTTACAATCACGTTGTTCATAGACACTGATGGATTCGATCGGAACAGGATGACGACTCTTCCAGACTTTCCGCTTTGAAATAGAAAGTCAAGATTTGGTTCTTTCGGGATGAATTCTGGAAAATCTATGGAAAGATGATTTATAACAGCTCATGTTTGAATACTTAGTAAGAAAGTTCATGAGTTTATCCACTTAGTTAGGATCTGGTCGAATTCATCGCGTTGGTGAGGAGAAAGCTGACGAGATGGTTTATTCTTATGAAGAACCACGTCCTCTTGTACGGTTACCAATCGAGGTCGGATATGGGAAAAGTTAACTAGCTGTTTTGCTACAGATGCATGGTAGTGGTGAACAAGGCGTAACTGACGAGGGGCTACTATGCCCGCTAGTGCGAGGAGTCGAGTAATTCCGGCATAAACCTTTCTTTAGAATTTTTCCAATGCGTTGTTAAATAAGTTTGTTCAGATCAATTAACCAGACAAACAGACACTATTGAGAAATTGGACCTCCTGAAGTATGCGCACCAAGATGGCACACAACCTGAACTCAGGTAACACTAGCTTAATTAAAATTCGGTGCTGGCAACTTCGTATGTTTAAGTCACTTAAAATGACATTGTACTAGTGATAAACAGTAAGTAATTACAAGCTGGGAGTCTACTCACATTGAACTAGCAGTGTCGTTTTATTATGCCGCACAGCTTGCCCTGTTTCATCTAATTCATCGCATGTTGCGGTAATTTCATGATGATCCGGCGTTGCTGTTAAGTTCAACCATGCAGACTAGGAATAAAAGATTAAAGGTAATTTTAAATATATATTAAGAAATTTTCATTTACATTATTAAATTTGAAATTGAATCTGGTTTAGTGATAAAAATAAACCTAATGTGTCTTCTATTTGTTTGATGAAACATTCATAGAAGGCTGCCAAGCAATAATCAAATGTCAATTTTATTGACAAAAAGATAAACAACTAACGAGTAAATTGAATATGACTGATGTACACATTGAACTATAGCGGTGCTTCATGTGTTGTAATAAGAAAAATAATAAAAGTCCAGTAACGTTAATGCTTATTCATACCTTCCCTTTGATGATGTCATTTTCTGCAGTGAGTTCTACGGTGTTCGAAGGCTTTGATGATTTACACGCAATAATGATAGGATCTCCAGAAAGTATTGTGATGGTAGAATATAAGAAATCGATTGTGTGTCCTGAAAATAATATTTGAATTTACTGATCTGCAATTAGCATACAGGACGCTCATTCAAAACCAATGCCGGTAGAAAACGCTCGAGACAAAAAGTGAATTTGCCTTTCAAGTTGACCTCGAAGTACACGCAATGAAACGAGAAAAAGAGTCAGTTATCAGCAGTTTATGTGATATATATATATATATGTAAATGGATTCAAATTTAAGTTATTAAA